TCACATAAAGTCACATCTCAACTCGAATCAGCGAACTAAATGGGCCCTACATTTCTTTGCAAGTTCCAAATTAAATAGCAATTACCTGCTAGCACTAACATCAAGGTTAAGCATAGGCTTAACTTTTGTTTCAATAAGGCTTATAGTTTAAGGTAAATCGGGTTCATGTAGCATCTGTGATGTCAGTTTGGAGACTAATTAAACTTCGAAGTCATAATACGATGCCAAATACTCCACACTATTGAAACTAATTATATTGCGTTAGCAAGACTAAACCCATGTTTGTTTCATATGTTTGAATCATAAAGAAAAAGTTTTGGTTCAAACCTTTTCTACTAGAGTGCTTTCTCATAAAAATTAAAACAAATTTGACTTTATGTCCAAACCTATAACCCAAACAGGCCATAAATGATCAAAGGGACTATAGAATCAAAAACTTTTTTTCTTCTCTAAACAACCACAAATTGAGTAAATTTTCAAGTTAAAGAATATCATGTTTTGGCAGCAGAAATCTTAGAAACTCGGATTAAAATGGTGGAACAAGAAACACGAATTTGCAGCAGATTCACACACCTGAACAAAGTGAATAAGCTCCACATCAATGTGCACTTCTTCCAAGCCTTCTACTTCAGGCATGAAAGGAGAGTGAGTTAAGTACTGACTCTTCACGTATATTACTCCCTTCTCTCCTCGTGCCATCGTACAAATTCTCATTTCAAGACCTTTAGGTACCTACAAAGAAGCACACAATCCATGATTACATAGTAATTTAATCCTTTGTGAGGGATGAGATGATTATGGTAATGTGTTGTTTAGTAGGGGAGATAGAGTTAAAAAGATAAATGAATGAAGGTTTATTTAATTACTTTTTTGTCATTTTTTATCAATTTCATACTAAGCATTTTAAGGATAAAATGACATTTTTTAATCTTTAATGGGTAGATTGTATGGATCCTTCCATTAGAGGAGGGATGCAAAATCGTGGGTCCAGGTGGAGAGAGTCTCTCTCCAACCAAACAAGAGATTTTGGCTCTCCTTTCCTCCATCTCTCCCTCCTACCAAACATACCTTTAAAGTTCAACCGTCTAAACCATTTTCAACAATAAAAAAGTGTCCAATCTCTCTGTTTTTCACACTTATTAAACACACATTCGAATTTTATTTCCTATTCAGATTAAAATTTTAACTGCACGTCTAAAGGCCAATTCAAACTACAATTTAAGTCACACAGTTTGAATTTTTCTGTTCAGTGTTTGTTTACAGTGATTCTGAATCAGTGTTTGGTTTGGATGATTCTGAATCATGATTCGGAATCTGATGTGATGTTGTAAACCAGAATCACTCATGATTCTAAAACCACCTCCTCTTGATTCAAGGTGATTCAAACCCCTGATTCTGAATCATGATTTGAACCCAAAATCATGAATCATGGTTCTAGTTCCAGAATCATAATTGGAATCACCATGGTTTAAATTCTCGTACCAAACAAATCCTTAATATTAACATAGCATAACTTTTACACTAAAATAGTGTAACTTTCACTTAAAACAGTAAATTCATCTTCAATCCATTACATCATTTCTAACACAAACAAGAATATTTTATATATATTCCTTTTTACAAATTAAAAAAAAGGAAAAAATAAAATTGATATAAAATTTGGAGTTGAGTGAACAGTAGAAACGCAAATATGTGTTTATATGACTATCGATAAACTCAATTTGAATTTCTATACTTAACGAAAATTATTAAAAGTTCAAATTGTGTTTTATCCCTTCCTACATAATTAATCTCATTATGTAAAATACACTCATCTAATATCTCTCAATATTAACCATACGAATAAGATAGTTCTATCTTTATTGGGAATGACCTGTATTAGTAATATTTTTAGTTAAAGATTCTTGAATTTTGATTATATTTATTACGTACATATTTTGATTATTATTCTTAAATACATCCTTTGAAATAATACTTATATACAATATTTAAAATCACATAAATAATCATAATATTTTCAATTATGTTCATTAAGTATTTAATAATACATGCACATAAAATAATTAAAAAATCCCTTAATTTTATTAATAATAAGATATTCATATAACATCATATGCTTTATGGACAAGATTCTTAATAATCTCCTGCTTATCCTAAAACAGAGAGACATGTCCTCAAACCCTCTAGTTACGTAACTACCATCTTCTTCTTTTTCTTTTTTTTTTTCTATCTTTACATTTATGCTATTCAAAATTTTACGACTTAAAATTATTTTTTACTGAATGGAAAGGAAAAGAAGGGACTTAAAACATATCTGTTCATTTGATCCATAAATTTTATCTTTTGAAAAGTGCAAACTTTGGCTTCCAATGTGTCCTAATGAAAACAATGCAGTTGCGCACGAAAGAAACTATTTTGGAGCTCAATTATGCATGTTTTGCATTTGAGTT